GCCATTCCTGAGAACTCAGGTGTTATTCCTCTGTACCCTGTAAATTCACGCCATATCCCACCCTTCAAACCGAAATACAGTCATGCAAACACAACTGCTTCACGGTTGAAACACGAATGGGACAGAGGTACCCAAGCAATCGACTTTTGTACAAAGTCTCCCTCTGTGTATTTTGTATTTAAGCTTAGTTTTATAACTTTCGTGCACTAGATTAAAGGCTAATCATTTCCTATTTCACTACATTAGGTCGGCTGGAAGAGATCCCTTTCAGAGATAAGTCCACCCTTGCTTACAAGATTTATAACCATTGCGCTGTATATCTTCTTTCCAAGTGTCTAATGTGTCTAATGAGGTAATCAGAGTCATTTGTCGACTATACCGTTGTGGTGAATGTAATACTCAACAAAATTAATCATTCATGTTTAACAAATAAACTCAAGTTACATACAGATCGAATATTGGTTGTAAAGCTCACTGTAGGTGACCCTCTCTGCCCACTCCCAGCAGTGGGTCATTAAAGGGGTGTTAGAATAACACAATTACCCCAAATAGTCTCGGTCACCAGCACTTAGGCATTTAAATGACGAATCGCTCTCAATTTATTAGTGGTGTCTCTCAGCTGTCTACATAGATTGCTTAATCTACATTATATTATCGAGGTTTTATCGACCTTAGTCGAGACGAAATTGAATTTGATTGTTGCTTGGTTGGATATTGGAGCCATGAAGTGAGCGACTTGTTGGAATTTATTTTACTAGAACTTTATCATTGGGGTATTTGTATTCACATATTATTGACACAGAGGTGCGTTATGCATGCCACACTGCAAACAGCAGTAGCGAAGACGACGAAAGATCTTAACAGATAACTACAACGACACTGGATAAAGCTACTCATCTCCGAAAGCAACATCTCCTGCCATCGCTTTCTCCGCTCCAACTCCGCCTGCATCGAAGTCTTTACGGGCTCTACGAGCTGCAGTCTGCAGTATGAGACGAGACGCTGTAATGCAGATCTGTAAAAGACTTTCAAATGAAGTCTTCTTTCAAAGAAGATAATTCTCAAAAACGATAAACACATAGTCAGTTCATAAAATTCTGGTTATACATATATATAGACGTCTTCAAGTATTGTTGATGCCTATGGGTTTTTTTAATGGTAAATCCGCCTGTACTAATGGTATACGCCAGAGGGGCACCAGTTAGAGATGAGAGGTGAGGATGAAAAGGCAGGCCAGTTAGCATATCCTGATGAACACTCCTGGAATTCAGCACTATGGTTTCCAGGAGGTGCCACGCGGAGGTCGATCTGTCAGAGTATATTACTAGCATTAGGACTGGTAATCTACATTATTAACAATTTCTTCCCCTTCCCGGTGTCTATATATTGCAATATTTACTTACCATCAAGTGACCCGCACGCTCGTTTGTCACCCTTAATAAAATGTATACTATCAGACTACCAAAGGGAGATTTTGCATTAAATTCACTTGGATAAGTACCGCTGCCCCACTAGTATCGCTGCCATGAAGCAGCTGTATTTATATAACTGCATTTCAGTTTGAAGGGTGTGATACGACACTGAAATTACAAAGTACGGAGGCATAACACTTAATCTTCAGGAATAGCAACGCATAAGAGGTACCATGATATCATAGCGGTTTCTGTGATCTTCATGGTATTGTAATCATCTATAGGCGCCGTTTACCACTTTCCATCAGCTTCTATCTTGTGGGTAAATTTATTTGCTATTCAACAAATTCCGTAAAAGAATAATAAAACTTGTGTTTGGTGGCCACGCGCGTCCATTATGAAGTCAAAACGATTTCATGAAAATTCAAGGATTCTTAACGAGACACGCTCTAAGATAGGGTTCGACGGGTATTTCAACTTGACACATACTTTACAATCCATCCACAGCCAAGTTAGTTAACTTAGACGGAGTTATTAAATTTGATATGTATTTTAAAACTCTGGCCTTTACGTAAATCTTTGTTTGAAGTAAAGAAGAAAATTAAATATATTTACAACTATAATAAATTTTGCACACGCATACTATTTAGTGTGGTGTCGTGTACAAAAAGAATCAATAAAATCGGTTTAAAATGGGCAAACATATCTGATAAAGGTGTGACATAACAACAAAAATACTGTAACATAGATCTTGTATCAACATACTATTATTATCTACAGTTCATTGCTGGACATAGGCCTCTCCTATAATTGGGGGGAGTTGCTAATAGTTGCCATGTTTGGCAGGCGGGTTGGCCTTGGTTACCGCAGGCTTTGGTGATGTTTTAAGAGGATACCTGGATCAGTAAATTCTCTAAGTTGCCTCTTTCGACAACCAACATACATCAACACATACATATGGAAATATATATAGATTAAATAGAAATAGAATCCTTTAAATTGTGTGACTACCAGCATTACCAGAGGGAGACTTTGTACAAAAGTTTTTTTTATATACAACTTAGAATGGCAAACAAGCTGACGGTCCACCTGATGGAAAGTGGTAACCGTCGCCTATACACATGAGCAGTACCATGGACATAACAGAGTATACTGTTTCACCCATGATACCCCCCATGCGTTACCATTCCTGAGGACTCAAGTGTTATTCCTCTGTACCCAGTACATTCACGCCATATCCCACCCTTCAAACCGAAACACAGCCATGCAAACACAACTGCTTCACGGTTGAAACACGAAGGGGCAGAGGTACCCAAGCAATCAACTTTTGTACAAAGTCTCCCCCTGGTGACATTAACACAAGTACTGACTATTTCAGTATAAAATTCATTCAATGAGTGGAAATTAATTGAACACACAATTTATAGATTAAAAGGATTCATCTAAAGTCTGAAATGTTATAATTTTCTTAAGAAAAACAACTGAAAGTGGCAGCTATGAAATGATTTCTGAAACTTTACTCCAGTGGCCTTTGTTAGTTCTTAGTCCAGTGGATATTCTCTCAGTTAACTAAAGTTTACAAAGTGCTTTTTATTGTTTAAATAGTTTCAGAATTGCGAACAAGAAATTTATAGTAAAAACGCTATTGCGTTGTACCTCAGATCTTGTATCTTATCTACACATAATGAGGTTTATATTATTATTATTTTTTAAGAAAATTAATACTGTTAAGGAATCTAATTATTTTCCACCATCGTCATCTTTCCACCCTTATCCAACTAATTTGTTTAAGTTTATCCACACGGGCATTGTAAATTAGTGCGATTTGATTGTTAGTTTGATATGGATACTGTGATGTTTGTGGGTACATCACTAATGTGTGACAATGGAATGGCAACGCATGGGGGGTATCATGGGCGATACAGTATACTCTGTTATGTCCATGGTACTGCTCATGTCTATAGGCGACGGTTACCACTTTCCATCAGGTGGGCCGTCAGCTTGTTTGCTATATTCTAAGTTGTATAAAAAAAAAAAATTGTAAAATGTGTACCTACCTCTCAACGAGGATTTGTCAGTCTGTTGCCAGCATTCAAACGTATAGCTTATTAACTGTATACATTTGAAACTATATCCCTAAACAGTATAGATACGCGCAAAAATTACTTAATGGATTTTAAAAATTCTTTCACCTTTAGAAGGAGAAGTAACATGATGATATACATAGTTTTCGATGCAATAAATAATTTAAAAAAAATTGATATCTCTGCGTAAATTACAATTACAATAATGTAATCCAATCAGGGTCGTAGTTAGACCCAAGTTTAAAGTAGGCCAAAATAACTTTTTGGTAAGGCAGAAGCCATAAGTAAAGTGACTTCGAAAAAGTGAATCTATCTAATTTTCTTGGGGTTTTTCATATTAAGGTCTTTTAAGGTAGGGCATTGCCCCTTAATGCCCCCCCCCCCCCAGCTACAGCTATGAATCCAAGGCATCAAAATTTGCCTATAAAAGTAATATCATCCATATTAGCCATCAAACTCCGACTGTATTCTCCTATCTGAATTTTTTATAGAAGGTCGTGTAATTTCTGATAGCAATAGCAGTGGTCAATCTTTGAATGTTGGCAGTCACACACGTACTAATGGTAGTGGAATTAAACAAAATAGTTTTAATCAAATAGTCAATTTTAGTCACTTACCATCAGGTGAGCCGCATGCTCGTTTGCCCCCTGTGTTGTAAAAAAAAAAAAAAAAATAACCAGAGATATGGACTTCTGCAAGATATCACTTAGTTCAGTAAAATATTCAAAAAATTTAAATACTAATGTATCTTTGTCTTTATAGTATCCGTGTGAAACTGGCAGGTTGCTAGTATAATTTACTATATGATTGGTTTAATACAGTTAATGTCTATTAATAATGTTAATATTATTGCATGTTTATATGTGTTTAAAAAACAATAGAATTTTCAACTGTTTATAACTACTTCTCTCCATCCAAAGGTTGCCTGGAAGAGATCGTTTTTAGATCTAAGACCGCCCATCGTTTTCTCAGTGTGAACATTTCTTATAATTATTTGTATCTATAATAAGTTTACTACTGTAATCTTTTGGAAGAAACAACAAAGTATATCTATCTATCTATCTATTAGTTTGTTTGCCACTAAATATCGTAAATACATTTAGAAATGCATAGGGTTTACTCGCGTTTTGGTGTCATATACATTTTTAACAAGCAACAATTTGTAGTTACGATCTTTTATTTGTAGACGCATACGATATCGAATTCGGAATGAAAATATTTTCAATTTAATATTTTTACGAAACATTTTTTATGCTCTTTTTGCAGGGCGAAATGTAGCAAACGCAACAAATTTTTAAATTAATAATGTATAGGAATTATGTACGTTAACGACGTAAATTGTTAATGTACTTGATAATAAATTTAAAGCATGTTGAGCTCCAGGCAACTGTTATTTTAGATAATTCTTATGTATTTTGATAAATAAAATTCAGTCCAAATAATACAATATCGATAAAATAAATCGTTAAACTTTAACAACTTTGTCATAAATTTGTTTCTTTAATTCCAAGTGTACTTGGGAAATGCAATAATCGTGTGAGTAAAGTAAGTGATATTAATATGATATTAGGCATCTCTCAAAATAAGTACTGGGATACGGATGTTAAGGGATTCTGCATATTTCATTGTTTAAATAATTTTATTGTATAGAAAAATAAATTAGAATAGTTGATAAATAGTATAATGGCAGATCAGCGCGCCTTATCGAGGTTACCGGTGATCCGAGAACTGGTAGCTACTTTGCGCCAAAGATAAGTTTAGCAATCCAAAGTGGTATTGCTGCTGAATGAGTATCTTGGGTACGCTGCCTCGGTGTGGTGCGTTGGGAGATTACTTATAATTAGTAATAGTATTTATAAAATTGTATCTTAATTTTAATTTATTGATGGCAAATTTATTTTTATAAGAAATAACCTCCAGTTAACATGGTATTTATTTATAATACTTAGAATATTAAACAAACTGATGACGCATCGGATTGCAAGTGGTCACCGTCGCCTGTAGGTATGAACATCATCGTGAACATTATGACATGACCATTATCGATTGTATTTCTATATTAAAATATAGAACCTCCAAAGGTTGCCTGGAAGAGATCGCTCTTAGCGATAAAGCTACCCATTGTTATCTTAGTATAATATATTCTTGTATTTGTCTTTATTTATAATAAATTTACTATTGTAATATTATAGAGAAAATTATAAAGAGTATCTATCTATCTACCTGCTTAAAGACTGGTCGCTATATATGTAAACAATTTAAATAGACAATGCATTCAAAGTAGTATATGAAATACATAAAATTTTACTAAATGTAGACTATTAAATTTATTGTACTTGTATTGTTATGGGATCCACATTATTTAACATTAATATTTTAATTATTTCAGATGAATATAAATCTTATTGTAATATCGATATGGAATATAATACTTTGTATGGCTAACTCTAATATTACAGAATTGAAAGAAAAAGAAATAAAAGCATTAGAAAGAGAGAAAGGTGATCTGTTTCTCAAAATAAATAAAGCTATAGATGACAGTGTAAAGGTATTACAGAATAGTAATGATTCAGATTCTCAGTTAGGAGTATTGCATATGAAAGAACTTAAAACTCAAATAAAGATAATAAATGAGACAGAAGACGTGACAGATACAAAACAAGTAGACGAAGATTCCAATATAGAATTAGAAAATATACAGTTAAAGAATGCAACAGACGGAAGAAAATCATTTCGTAATACACAACAGAAAAATAAGAAAGTAAAGCTAGATTTACTTGATATAGCAAAGCTTTTCCCGACCGAAGATATTGGCAACGCAAATGATACAGAAAATAGTTTATTTGTTCAAAATAAACTAGACCAGTGGATTTTAGAAAGGAAAAGAGAGAAAGATCGTATTCGAGAGTATAGTGAAAAAAAAGGAAAAGCTCTACAGATACGAGAAATGTCTAAGATTTGGGACATTTAAGAAAAAGAAGCAGAGTAGAAGAAGCGGTAAATCGAGAGGAATAAAGTATCCTTGTTGCAGGAAATGTTGTAAGAAATCTTATATGGGCTAAACACCAAATACATCACTTGTAAGTTAGTAACGTATATAAATGACCGCGTACTGTACGATTTTAGAAGAGTTTTATATCGCGAATGCTGCGGTTATAGAAGGCTTTCGCTGTGATGTTCCCTAGAGTCTATAGTTTGATATTTCTTTCAAAAGGCGAAATAAGGTTTCTTCAGACTGTCACTTGCGATGTTGATGGTTCAGAGGCTACAGGAATAGTTAACAGTATTATTAGACAGCTATATTTATTTGTCATCATCGAGGTAGAGGTATCTAGTAGATTGTTCAGATGTTAACATATTTCAGCGATTAACAATTAATAAATCATTTTATTATTATTATTATGCAACTTAAAATGTCAAACAAGCTGACGGCCCACCTGATGGAAAGTGGTAACCGTCGCCTATAGACATGAGCAGTACCGTGGACATAACAGAATATACTGTTACGCTCATGATACCCCCTATGCGTTGCCATTCCTGAGGACTCAGATGTTATTCCCCTGTACCCTGTAAATTCACGCCATATCCCACCCTTTAAACTGAAACATAGCCATGTAAACACAACTGCTTTACGGTTGAAACACGAATGGGACAGTGGTACCCAAGCAAACGACTTTTGTACAAAGTGGGAGACTATATATTATATGCACAATTATATCGATAGCGAGTTTAAAATGATATTACTGTTCTTTTATAAATATAGGTTCATAGATAAACCTCATAGTGTAATAAACATATTTAAGAATATACAAAAATTATATTATTGATTAATAAATCGGAATTCAATGATTATTTATTAGGAAACAGGCTCCACTTTCACCTCCCCCAAATTTCACCCTCTCGTTCGTCAATTTTGGACGATCTTTTACTTTAATTTCACGATTAATCTTTCAATCGAAAAATATACAATTTCAACTTGTAACTGGAGAGAGCAGTTTGCAGTTTACAAAGCGCCAGCTAATCTAATATCGAGATAATATTTATTTTAATAAAGTACTTTTTCTTTGTTAATGCTTATAATACAAGAGTTCCGAAATTCAACAGCTTGCTGGAATCTTGTGTAACCAGCAAACAAGTTGAGCAAATACGACGGAGGGAATTAATAAAAATGTTTCTTGTTAAATTATCCGCTTTAATAACATTAAAAGGTCGTTTGTGATGTATGCCAGTTTAAAATCGCCAACCGCAATATATATAAAATTACAACGTTCAGTCCTCTAAGTGGGGGGAAAGGGATTGTTAGTAATGGAGACTGAGAATCCCATTGCTAGCAATATACCCAACCAGGTCGACCTCCTCGCGGTTCCCCCTGGAAACTATCATGGTTAATTCCTGATGAATTCATCATGATGGGCTAACTGGCCTGTTTTCATTCTCATCTATCACCCTTCACTGGTGCTCCGCCAGCGTATCCCGTTAGCGCAGGCGGGGTTACCATACCATTTTCACTCGTCAAAAAAAAAGTCCTCTAAGTATGATAATGTTTGTATTGATTATTTTGAAAAATAATTAAACAATTTAGGCGTGTTAAATAATTATGTATAAAGTTTTTTATTTTATTTTTTACAACACAGGGGTCAAACGAGCATGCAGCTCACCTGATGGTAAGTGACTACTGCCGCCTATGATCACCCACAACACCAACAGCATTACAGTTGTGCTGCCGGCCTTTTAAAAAGGAATATGCTCATTTCTTGAAGGTAATGATTATTCTAATATTGTCCTTAAATATCTATACCACTAAGTATTTGCTAAAACATTATACTACTTCATATTTCGCTTTAAATCAAATATTTAATACTAAATATTATATGTAATAATGCTAAAACTGGCCGTGTGGTCCCGGTATAGAATAGGCCACCTCTTCCTTTCTCGTGGGTGTCGTAAAAGGCGACTTAAAGAACTTAATGGTAGAGGGATGAGCAGCTGCGTTTCTCTTAAAACATCTCCAAAAGTCTAACTGCGGTTACCAAAGAGTCTGCCAAGCGTGGCAGTTACCGGCAAAACTCCCCTTATGGGGAAGGCTCATGTTCACCAGTGGACAGTTATCAAGCTGAAATAATGAATGATGATGTAAGCTTGCGCGTAGTAATTTTTTATAGTTTTTTTTTTTCTAAATAGATCTAAAACTTTCATTGGTATTTTTGGTCAAAATCAGAAATCCTAATTTGTTCTCAAAAGTATTTTTCTTTATACAACTTAGAATGGCAAACAAGCTGACGGCCCACCTAATGGAAAGTGGTAACTGTCGCCTATAGACATGAGCAGTACCATGGACATAACAGAGTATACTGTTTCGCCCATGATACCCCCCATGCGTTGCCATTTCTGAGGACTCAGGTACCACCTCTGTCCTCTGTACCCAGTAAATTCACGCCATATCCCACCCTTCAAATCGAAACACAGCCATGCAAACACAACTGCTTCACGGTTGAAACACAAATGGGACAGAGGTACCCAAGCAATTGACTTTTGTACAAAGTCTCCCTCTGTTCCCAAAAGTATACTTATTTTGGGCGTAGATTTTTTGTATATTATATTTATAAAAAAAAAACACGTATATATCTAATTGTCCGCTAACTAGTAAGCGTGCAAGTTTGCTGAAGACGTAAACTGCATGTCAGGTCTTCCCAAAGGTTTTACAATATTATGTGGGCCCGTACACATGGCAGACAATCAAATATTGACTCTGGTGTGTAATTCAGATAATTGTGTGCACAGGCCGCCGGCCTTTTTCCACGTCTGAAGCACCGATATCATACATGATATCGTTCTCTATTAACATATAATTTTATAACTTTTTACCATTTTGACTTTTTAAACAATTATTTACAAGACGTGATTATTTTATTTATTTTATTTTTTATTAAAGACAAGCGACCCGCTCTGGCTTCGCACGGTTACGCTACTGTAGACACTATACGATGCTGATACTAAATAGAGCCACCGGTCCCTCGGCCGGTACTGTCGCAACCGCTATGTCCCTGCATTTTAAATCTGTAATATCTTCGAAAATATTTGTTTAATTTCATGCATTATTTTCATCTATCTAATAGGTTACAATGTCAGCGCTAAAAATGTGTTGTGTCTCTGCTATATTATGCATGTATTATACATATATAACTTCCTCTTGAATCACTCTATCTATTAAAAAAAGCAGAAAAATCTGTTGCGTACTTTTAAAGATTTAGGCATACATAGGGACAGACAGACGGGAAGTGACTTTGTTTTATACTATGTAGTGGAAAACCAGCAGTTAGAAAATTTCATAATATAAAAAAAAAAACAGTAAAGATAAAAAGCTAATTACCTACAGGTTAAACAGGCATGGTATTTTTTTTTTTGTTGGGTTTAAATGGAATGGTAATCCCGCCTGCGCTAACGGGATACGCTGGCGGAGCACCAGTGAAGGGTGATAGATGAGAATGAAAACAGGCCAGTTAGCCCCTCATGATGAATTTTATTTATATTGTGGGTGTATGGGCAAATGCAGTGTAGGACGACCCTCCACTGGATGGAATAACGACTTTAAATGCATTACAGGAAGTCAGTGGTTGCAGATGGCTCAGAACCGTTTCTTATGGTAATCTATGTCCAGCAGTTGATAGATAATGGCTGACATGATGATGATGATGATGTCTAATACTGCGTCACTATGGTCTTCAAAGAAAATACATGTAATATTGTGTTACTGGAACCCTGAAATTAGACAGTGGCAACAAGCGAGGCTAATCTCTGTCTGTGAGGTGGCCTCCCGGTGTCCACTTACTGATCGGCTTACAACTTGTAATGCCCCGGTCAATGGTACACTAATTACACCCGGATATTGTTACCTGGGGTCGAGGGAGTGATTGTACTATTTATTATTATTATACTAGACTTCATGTATCCTGCGGCTTCGCTTGTGCGAATCAGAATATAAAGTATTATTATGTTATAAATTAGGCGTTACGCGAAAACCACTGCACAATTTGAATGTCGTCATTAAAATACTGAGGGTCTACCATGAAATGTTTTCCAAAATTTTTGGGGCTTTTTATGCTACTTAGAATGGCAAACAAGCTAACGACCTAACTGATGGGAAGTAGTAAACGTCGCATATAGACATGAGCAGTACCATGGACATAACAGAGTATACTGTTTCGCCCGTGATACCCCCCATGCGTTGCAATTCTTGAGGACTTAGGCGTTATTCCTTTGTACCTTGTAAATTCACTGCCATTTCACAGCCATGCAAACACAACTGCTTCACGGTAGAAACACGAATGGGACAGAGGTGCCCAAGCAAACGACTTTTGTACAAAGTCTCCCTCTGGGCTGAATGAAATATAAATTTGATATTAAAATTACATAATACATACCGTTCAAAAATATTAAAATATCGTTCCTTTGAACTTTTATGTTACGATTTATGACGAAGGAAATGTTAAGCTGTATTTACTGCGCCGATTTCGGTATGAACGGAAACACGAATTTGAATTAGGAAATTTGGAATTTCATTTCATGGTAGAATAGAATAGAAATCATTTATTCAAATAGAAATCATTTATTCAAATAAACTTACATTGAAGCACTTTTGAAAAGTCATTACATTTTTTTTAATTTACCGCTCGTTCGGAAAGCTGTCTCATCACAAGAAGAACGAGCAAGAAACTTGCGTGATGCTCTTTTAAATAATTTTATTATTATTTTACATTTTTAAGTTTAATTGTGTGAATACAAACCACCAATTAGCACTAATTCAATTAAATACTCAAAAAGAAAAAAAAAATTGAATACATAACCAACTGGTTAAACAATTAATAAGAGGAAATCAGTCATAGTGATTAGAGCAGACCAGTCCCTACAAGCAGCACCCGTTCACGAGTATGACGGATGAGCCAGCCATCACTGCGCTCGACCATATTTTAGGGAGCCCAATGACCCGGCCCACCACGCCGCCACAAGTCTGGACATTTTAGTGAGCATGACTACTCAAAACACTAGACCACGTCAAAGCTACTCACAATTGCCATCTGATAGTTATAGTATTCACATTTTACATAAGAATGCATGCGGCAATTAATACAAAAAACCGCTACGCTT